AAACCTTTGTTTGCATCATTTTTGATGAAGTGTTTTGCAACTGTATGGCAAGTTTCCTTTTTTCTCCCTTAAATCACAGTGTACTAGCCATAACTTCATCTGAAATATATGGATAAGTGACACCTGCATTTCTAAAAGATGTAAAATGAATTTTCCTTACATTAAAAAGCCACTGACATTTTTAATAGTACTTTTCTGTGTAATAAACTATAAGGTATATTGCCTTAGTATGCTTTACATCTGAATTCTTTAACTGTTTTCTGAATAAAACATGAGTGGTTCTGCTTTTTCAACAGTAAAGAATTCTGGCTTCAAGAGATTTTTTTTTTTCCCATTTATAGGCTCTTTTCTGCCCACATCCCACAGTATTCCAAAATAAGACTCACAGGAGTCTGGTGAATTAAACAGTACTGTTAGGCTATTATTGTGTCTCAGGTTGAGATATGCACAGAACTCATTGATTTTACTGTGTATTTAGAATATAGTAATGCATTCTAAATCTAAAGTATTTCAGAGCAACAAAGTTGTGCTTTTTATTATAAGCACTGTCATATAATTATTTTTAAGAAGGTCCTTAAAACTATTTATTTGACTCAGTAATTAGTAGAAATTTTTCCTAAGGAAGAAATTTAAGGTATATAAAAGCTATCTCTATGAAAACATTGATTACATTGTTGCTTACAGTTTAAAAAGAGAGAAATAATTTAAAAAGTATAGGAATGGCTCAAAATGGAATATTATGTAGCCATTAAAAATAGGTTAAATGAGGCCACAAGTGGAGGTTCACGCCTGTAATCCCAGCACTTTGGGAGGCTGAGGCTAATGGATCACTTGAGGTCAGGAGTTTAAGACCAGCCTGGCCCAACATGGTGAAACCCTGTCTCTACTAAAAATACAAAAGTTAGCCAGATGTGGTGGTACATACCTGTAAGCCAGCTACTCAAACAGCTGAGACACAATTACTTGAACCTGGGCGGCAGAGGTTGCAGTGAGCTGAGATTCTGCCACTGCACTCCAGTCTGGGCAACAAAGTGAGACTCTGTCTTAAAAAAGAAAAAAAAAATAGTTTAAATGATAGCTAATGAGGTTACTATATAATAAGTGGAAAAAAAAAACACACTTTAAAGCTATTTGCTATGAGACCAGTTAGAATGAGTTTTAGTTTATGAATAGGAAAATAAATTGCAGGCAGATAAACAGAAAACCCTTTAAGGTTGTGAAATAATGGATAAATTTTGTTTATCTAAAATGTCTGCAGTTACAATTTGAAAACTAAACTCATTTAAATTCATTTTCAGATGGAATGATGTGTGAATATAAGTAAAAGCCATGATAAATTATACACTTATTGTATTTATTAGAACATACATTTGGAAGATAGAAATCAGTGGTGACTTTTCGGTTAGATTTATTTTATAATTAAATTTTTCCTTTTTTTTTTCTTATAGCTCTTTACACGCTGTCTTACACCGCTTGTACCAGAAGACCTTAGAAAAAGGAGGAAAGGAGGAGAGGCAGATAATTTGGATGAATTCCTCAAAGAATTTGAAAATCCAGAGGTTCCTAGAGAGGACCAGCAACAGCAGCATCAGCAGCGTGAAGTTATTGGTTTGTTCTATTGGAATAGTTCTCTGATGAAGTTCACATGAGTATTTGGCATATTTGGCTAAAAATTTACCTTTATACAATCAGAGTAAAAGAAATAAGGAATGAAAGATATACTGAAATGTTTGGGCAGGGAATTGCATTGGATCTGATTGCCTTATTTAAGTATGAAGTTTCCTGTCTTCCCAGAGGTTTAAGGTTCAGAACTGGCAGGGTAGATAGTCTGCTAAAGAATTGTCCTGGCCGGGCGCGGTGGCTCAAGCCTGTAATCCCAGCACTTTGGGAGGCCGAGGCGGGTGGATCACAAGGTCAAGAGATCGAGACCATCCTGGTCAACATGGTGAAACCCCGTCTCTA